AAGGGAGGAGGTAGGGGTAGCGGAGGGGGGAGGGGAGGAGGAGGATGGTGAGGAGACGAGGTAGTAGGATCGAGGAGGAGGAGGAAGGAGGAGGTAGAGGAGGAGGAGGTAGGGGTTTTAGTAGAGTGAGGAGGTAGAGGAGGTAGAGGAGGAGGTAGAGGAGGAGGAGAGTAGAAAGAGGAGGAGGTAGAGGAGGAGGTAGAGGGGACGAGGAGTAGGGGTAGAGGAGGTTTCTCTCTCTCTAGCTCTCCTCCCGGGCTGCTCTGATCTCTCTCTCTCTCTGCCTCTCTCTCTCTCTCTCTCTCTCTCTCGGTCTCTCTCCCTCTCTCTCTGTTTCTCTCTCTGTTTATTGTTGGGCAGCAATATGACTAATTGCTCCCTTTAGTCATTTTACTCCTATCTATGCAGTACCTATATGCACATACAGTACATTACCAAAAGTATGTGGACACCTGCTCGTCCAACATCTCATCCCAAAATCATGGGCATTAATATGGAGTTGGTCCCCCCTTTGCTGCTATAACAGCCTCCACTCTTCTGGGAAGGCTTTCCACTAGATGTTGGAACATTGCTGCGGGGACTTGCTTCCATTCAGCCACAAGTGCATTAGTGAGGTCGGGCACTGATGTTGGGCGATTAGGCCTGGCTCGCAGTCGGCATTCCAATTCATCCCAAAGGTGTTCGATGGGGTTGAGGTCAGGGCTCTGTGCAGGCCAGTCAAGTTCTTCCACACCAATCTCGACAAAACATTTCTGTATGGACCTCACTTTGTGCACGGGGGCATTGTCATGCTGAAACAGGAAAGGGCCTTCCCTAAACTGTTGCCACAAAGTTGGAAGCAAAGAATTGTCTAGAATGTCATTGTATGCTGTAGCATTAAGATTTCCCTTCACTGGAACTAAGGGGCCTAGCCCGAACCATGGCACTACTGGCCTTGTAGTGAAGGGATGCGTCCCAAATGGCTCCCTATATACTGTAGTGCACTACTTTAGACCAGGGGCCCTATTCTATGTAGGGAATAGGGTGCCATTTGGGACCTAGCTAAAGGCCTGTGTTATAATAGAGTATCTCACTCCTGTCATTGTAGTGAAGGTCATAGCTACGACTCTCAGTGATCTCCCTATGAAGCTCTTCTCTGTTAAATAAGGCCCCAGGTCGTAGCTGGATTATAACACACTGTTGAACCAATGGATCCCCTACTGAGGAGACACGGAGATCCAGACTCATTATCTGCCATTGATCCTCCACCAGCAGTCTGACGGGACCCCTCACAGTGGGTGTTTCTGCGCTTGCATTGTTTATGATTTGCACAGTCTCCATTTGAGGCTGTGAACAACTCCCTCCCTGACCCGACCTATCAGATCCCACAGGCAAACCAAACCCCACTGTCTGTCTCAGTGTGACAGTTCAGGAAGATACCTTCCTAACTCCTCCCTTCCCTTTCCCTGGACAAAGCTAGTGATCGACAGCCTGGTCCAGTCAGCGTGCCACCAGACATTAGCATGACAACAGAACCCCTGCCGGCCAGCCTGTTGCTGGCTAGTTCTACCGTTGCTAGGGCAACGTGACAGTCAAGTCACTCTCCACCCATTCAGTGGTGAAGTATGACTGAGACGACTGCTGAAACGAAATGAAGTTGGTTTGATTTTGTAGTTTTCTTGTGTGTGTGTGTGTGTGTGTGTGTGTGTGTGTGTGTCCTATCTCCGTCAGCAGGGGGCAGACTGAGTGTGTTCAGAGTATGTGAGGGTCCGTTGTTGATTGTTGTCAGTTGTCCTCAATGAACAGGAAGTGGTGCAGTTTTTCAATAGAAATGTCTGCTCTTTTTCCTTTCTGTGGCTTCTAGAAAGGATGTTTCAGACAAAGGTCAGGTCATAACTATTGGACTGTGAGTTGGGCTAACTGTTGTGTGGGAGTTGCACTAACTGTAGAGGAAACAGAGTATTGGACTGTGAGTTGAGCTAACTGTAGTGGAAACAGAGTATTGGACTGTGAGTTGAGCTAACTGTAGAGGAAACAGAGTATTGGACTGTGAGTTGAGCTAACTGTAGAGGAAACAGAGTATTGGACTGTGAGTTGAGCTAACTGTAGAGGAAACAGAGTATTGGACTGTGAGTTGAGCTAACTGTAGAGGAAACAGAGTATTGGACTGTGAGTTGAGCTAACTGTAGAGGAAACAGAGTATTGGACTGTGAGTTGAGGCTAACTGTAGAGGAAACAGAGTATTGGACTGTGAGTTGAGCTAACTGTAGAGGAAACAGAGTATTGGACTGTGAGTTGAGCTAACTGTAGTGGAAACAGAGTATTGGACTGTGAGTTGAGCTAACTGTAGTGGAAACAGAGTATTGGACTGTGAGTTGAGCTAACTGTAGAGGAAACAGAGTATTGGACTGTGAGTGAGCTAACTGTAGTGGACACAGAGTATTGGACTGTGAGTTGAGCTAACGTAGTGGAAACAGAGTATTGGACTGTGAGTTGAGCTAACTGTAGAGGAAACAGAGTATTGGACTGTGAGCTGAGCTAACTGTTATGTGTGAGTTGGTCTAACTGTAGGGGAAACAGAGTATTGGACTGTGAGCTGGTCTAACTGTAGATGGAAACAAGAAGATTGGACTATTCTTTGTGAGCTGTCTAACTGTAGAGGAAACAGTAGTATTGGACTGTGGCTGGTCTAACTGTAGAGGAGGAAACAGAGTATTGGACTGTGGAGTTGAGCTAACTGTAGGGAGGAAACAGAGTATTGGACTGTGAGTTGAGCTAACTGTAGAGGAAACAGAGTATTGGACTGTGACGATGAAACGGTTACTGTGTGATTTGTACTGTGGAAACAGCTATTGGACTGTGAGTTGGTCTAACTGTAGAGGAAACAGAGTATTGGACTTTCTTTGTGAGCGGTCAACTGTAGAGGGAAACAGAGTATTGGACTGGTGAGCTGTCTAACGTGAGGAACAGAGTATGATGTGATTGGTCTAACTGTTATATGTGAGTTGGTCTAACTGTAGAGGAAACAGAGTATTGGACTATTCTTTGTGAGCTGGTCTAACTGTAGAGGAAACAGAGTATTGGACTGTGAGCTGGTCTAACTGTAGAGGAAACAGAGTATTGGACTGTGAGTTGGCTACTGTAGGGAAACAGAGTTATTGGACTGTGGAGTTGGTCTAAACTGTAGAGGGAAACAGAGTATTGGACTATTCTTTGTGAGCTGGTCTAACTGTAGGGGAAACAGAGTATTGGACTATTCTTTGTGAGCTGGTCTAACTGTAGCGGAAACAGAGTATTGGACTATTCTTTGTGAGTTGGTCTAACTGTAGGGGAAACAGAGTATTGGACTGTGAGCTGAGCTAACTGTTATGTGTGAGTTGGTCTAACTGTAGGGGAAACAGAGTATTGGACTGTGAGCTGGTCTAACTGTAGAGGAAACAGAGTATTGGACTATTCTTTGTGAGCTGGTCTAACTGTAGAGGAAACAGAGTATTGGACTGTGAGCTGGTCTAATGTAGAGGAAACAGAGTTATTGGACTGTGAGTTGGTCTAACTGTAGAGGAAACAGAGTATTGGACTGTGAGTTGGTCTAACTGTAGAGGAAACAGAGTATTGGACTGTGAGTTGGTCTAACTGTAGGGGAAACAGAGTATTGGACTGTGAGCTGGTCTAACTGTAGAGGAAACAGAGTATTGGACGTGAGCTGGTCTAACTGTAGAGGAAACAGAGTATTGGACTGTGAGCTGGTCTAACTGTAGAGGAAACAGAGTATTGGACTATTCTTTGTGAGCTGGTCTAACTGTAGAGGAAACAGAGTATTGGACTGTGAGCTGGTCTAACTGTAGAGGAAACAGAGTATTGGACTGTGAGTTGGTCTAACTGTAGAGGAAACAGAGTATTGGACTGTGAGTTGGTCTAACTGTAGAGGAAACAGAGTATTGGACTGTGAGCTGGTCTAACTGTAGAGGAAACAGAGTATTGGACTGTGAGTTGAGCTAACTGTAGTGGAAACAGAGTATTGGACTATTCTTTGTGAGCTGGTCTAACTGTAGAGGAAACAGAGTATTGGACTGTGAGCTGGTCTAACTGTAGAGGAAACAGAGTATTGGACTGTGAGTTGGTCTAACTGTAGAGGAAACAGAGTATTGGACTGTGAGCTGGTCTAACTGTAGTGGAAACAGAGTATTGGACTATTCTTTGTGAGCTGGTCTAACTGTAGAGGAAACAGAGTATTGGACTGTGAGCTGGTCTAACTGTAGAGGAAAAGAGTATTGGACTGTGAGTTGGTCTAACTGTAGAGGAAACAGAGTATTGGACTGTGAGCTGGTCTAACTGTAGAGGAAAACAGAGTATTGGACTGTGAGTTGGTCTAACTGTAGAGGGAAACAGAGTATTGGAATTCTTTGTGAGCTGGTCTAACTGTAGGGAAACAGAGTATTGGACTGTGAGTTGGTCTAACTGTAGAGGAAACAGAGTATTGGACTGTGAGTTGGTCTAACTGTAGGGGGAAAAAAGAGTATTGGACTGTGAGCTGGTCTAACTGTAGGGAAAACAGAGTATTGGACTGTGAGCTGGTCTAACTGTAGGGAAAACAGAGTATTGGACTTTATGTGAGCTGGGTCTAACTGTAGGGGAAACAGAGTATTGGACTGTGAGTGGTCTAACTGTGAGAGGAAACAGAGTATTGGACATTCTTGTGAGCTGGTCTAACTGTAGGGAAACAGAGTATTGGACTATTCTTTGTGAGTGGTCTAACTGTAGGGGAAACAGAGTATTGGACTATTCTTTGTGAGCTGGTTAACTGTAGAGGCAAACAGAGTATTGGACTGTGAGCTGGTTAACTGTAGGGGAAACAGAGTATTGGACTGTGAGTGGTCTAACTGTAGAGGAAACAGAGTAGGTATTGGACTGTGAGCTGGTCTAACTGTAGAGGAACAGAGTATTGGATGTGAGCTGGTCTAACTGTAGAGGAAACAGGAGTATTGGACTGTGAGCTGGTCTAACTGTAGGGGAAACAGAGTATGGACTGTGAGTTGAGTAACGTAGAGGGAAAACAGAGTATTGGACTGTGAGTTGAGCTAACTGTAGAGGAAAACAGAGTATTGGATGTGAGTGGTCTAACTGTAGAGGGAAACAGAGTATTGGACTGTGAGCTGGTCTAACTGTAGTGGAAAACAGAGTATTGGATGTGAGTTGAGCTACTGTAGGAGGAAACAGAGTATTGGACTGTGAGTTGGTCTAACTGTAGGGGAAACAGAGTATTGGACTATTCTTTGTGAGCTGGTCTAACTGTAGAGGAAACAGAGTATTGGACTGTGAGTTGAGCTAACTGTAGTGGAAACAGAGTATTGGACTGTGAGCTGGTTAATGTAGAGGAAACAGAGTATTGGACTATTATTTGTGAGCTGGTCTAACTGTAGAGGAAACAGAGTATTGGACTGTGAGCTGGTCTAACTGTAGAGGAAACAGAGTATTGGACTATTCTTTGTGAGCTGGTCTAACTGTAGGGGAAACAGAGTATTGGACTATTCTTTGTGAGCTGGTCTAACTGTAGGGGAAACAGAGTATTGGACTATTCTTTGTGAGCTGGTCTAACTGTAGGGGAAACAGAGTATTGGACTATTCTTTGTGAGCTGGTCTAACTGTAGAGGAAACAGAGTATTGGACTATTATTTGTGAGCTGGTCTAACTGTAGGGGAAACAGAGGTATGGACTGTGAGAGTATTGGAGTGAGTTGGTCTAACTGTGAGGAGGAAAACAGAGTATTGGACATGTGAGTGGTCTAACTGTAGGGAAACAGAGTATTGGACTATTTTTGTGAGCTGGTCTAACTGTAGAGGAAACAGAGTATTGGACTGTGAGCTGGTCTAACTGTAGGGGAAAACGAGTATTGGACTGTGAGTTGGTCTAACTGTAGAGGAAACAGAGTATTGGACTGTGAGTTGGTCTAACTGTAGAGGAAACAGAGTATTGGACTGTGAGCTGGTCTAACTGTAGAGGAAACAGAGTATTGGACTGTGAGCTGGTCTAACTGTAGGGAAACAGAGTATTGGACTGTGAGTTGGTCTAACTGTAGAGGAAACAGAGTATTGGACTGTGAGTGGTCTAACTGTAGGGAAACAGAGTATTGGACTGTGAGTTGGTCTAACTGTAGAGGAAACAGAGTATTGGAACTGTGAGCTGGTCTAACTGTGAGGAAACAGAGTATTGGACTGTGAGCTGGTCTAACTGTAGAGGAAACAGAGTATTGGATCTGTGAGCTGGTCTAAACTGTCGGGGAAAACAGAGTAATTGAACTCATTCTTTGTGAGCTGGTCTAACTGTAGGGGAAACGAGTATTGGACTATTCTTTGTGAGCTGGTCAACGTAGGGGAAAACAGAGTATTGGACTATTCTTTTGTGAGCTGGTCTAACTGTAGAGGAAACAGAGTATTGGACTGTGAGCTGGTCTAACTGTAGGGGAAACAGAGTATTGGACTGTGAGTTGGTCTAACTGTAGAGGAAACAGAGTATTGGACTGTGAGCTGGTCTAACTGTAGAGGAAACAGAGTATTGGACTGTGAGCTGGTCAACGTAGAGGAAACAGAGTATTGGACTGTGAGTGAGTCTAACGTAGGGGAAACGAAGTATTGGAACTGTGGAGTTGAGCTAACTGTAGAGGAAAACAGAGTATTGGACTGTGAGTTGAGCTAACTGTAGAGGAAACAGAGATTGGACTGTTAGTTGGTCTAACTGTAGAGGAAACAGAGTATTGGACTGTGAGCTGGTCTAACTGTAGTGGAAACAGAGTATTGGACTGTGAGTTGAGCTAACTGTAGAGGAAACAGAGTATTGGACTGTGAGTTGGTCTAACTGTAGGGGAAACAGAGTATTGGACTATTCTTTGTGAGCTGGTCTAACTGTAGAGGAAACAGAGTATTGGACTGTGAGTTGAGCTAACTGTAGTGGAAACAGAGTATTGGACTGTGAGCTGGTCTAACTGTAGAGGAAACAGAGTATTGGACTATTATTTGTGAGCTGGTCTAACTGTAGAGGAAACAGAGTATTGGACTGTGAGCTGGTCTAACTGTAGAGGAAACAGAGTATTGGACTATTATTTGTGAGTTGGTCTAACTGTAGAGGAAACAGAGTATTGGACTATTCTTTGTGAGCTGGTCTAACTGTAGAGGAAACAGAGTATTGGACTATTCTTTGTGAGCTGGTCTAACTGTAGGGGAAACAGAGTATTGGACTATTCTTTGTGAGCTGGTCTAACTGTAGGGGAAACAGAGTATTGGACTATTCTTTGTGAGCTGGTCTAACTGTAGAGGAAACAGAGTATTGGACTATTATTTGTGAGCTGGTCTAACTGTAGGGGAAACAGAGTATTGGACTGTGAGCTGGTCTAACTGTAGGGGAAACAGAGTATTGGACTGTGAGTTGAGCTAACTGTAGAGGAAACAGAGTATTGGACTATTATTTGTGAGCTGGTCTAACTGTAGAGGAAACAGAGTATTGGACTGTGAGCTGGTCTAACTGTAGGGGAAACAGAGTATTGGACTGTGAGTTGAGCTAACTGTAGAGGAAACAGAGTATTGGACTGTGAGTTGAGCTAACTGTAGAGGAAACAGAGTATTGGACTGTGAGTTGGTCTAACTGTAGAGGAAACAGAGTATTGGACTGTGAGCTGGTCTAACTGTAGTGGAAACAGAGTATTGGACTGTGAGTTGAGCTAACTGTAGAGGAAACAGAGTATTGGACTGTGAGTTGGTCTAACTGTAGAGGAAACAGAGTATTGGACTATTATTTGTGAGCTGGTCTAACTGTAGAGGAAACAGAGTATTGGACTATTCTTTGTGAGCTGGTCTAACTGTAGAGGAAACAGAGTATTGGACTATTCTTTGTGAGCTGGTCTAACTGTAGGGGAAACAGAGTATTGGACTATTCTTTGTGAGCTGGTCTAACTGTAGGGGAAACAGAGTATTGGACTGTGAGTTGGTCTAACTGTAGAGGAAACAGAGTATTGGACTATTATTTGTGAGCTGGTCTAACTGTAGGGGAAACAGAGTATTGGACTATTCTTTGTGAGCTGGTCTAACTGTAGGGGAAACAGAGTATTGGACTATTCTTTGTGAGCTGGTCTAACTGTAGGGGAAACAGAGTATTGGACTATTCTTTGTGAGCTGGTCTAACTGTAGGGGAAACAGAGTATTGGACTGTGAGTTGAGCTAACTGTAGAGGAAACAGAGTATTGGACTGTGAGCTGGTCTAACTGTAGAGGAAACAGAGTATTGGACTGTGAGCTGGTCTAACTGTAGAGGAAACAGAGTATTGGACTGTGAGCTGGTCTAACTGTAGGGGAAACAGAGTATTGGACTGTGAGTTGAGCTAACTGTAGAGGAAACAGAGTATTGGACTGTGAGTTGAGCTAACTGTAGAGGAAACAGAGTATTGGACTGTGAGTTGGTCTAACTGTAGAGGAAACAGAGTATTGGACTGTGAGCTGGTCTAACTGTAGTGGAAACAGAGTATTGGACTGTGAGTTGAGCTAACTGTAGAGGAAACAGAGTATTGGACTGTGAGTTGGTCTAACTGTAGAGGAAACAGAGTATTGGACTGTGAGCTGGTCTAACTGTAGTGGAAACAGAGTATTGGACTGTGAGCTGGTCTAACTGTAGAGGAAACAGAGTATTGGACTATTCTTTGTGAGCTGGTCTAACTGTAGGGGAAACAGAGTATTGGACTGTGAGCTGGTCTAACTGTAGGGGAAACAGAGTATTGGACTATTCTTTGTGAGTTGGTCTAACTGTAGGGGAAACAGAGTATTGGACTATTCTTTGTGATTTGGTCTAACTGTAGGGGAAACAGAGTATTGGACTATTCTTTGTGAGCTGGTCTAACTGTAGGGGAAACAGAGTATTGGACTATTCTTTGTGAGCTGGTCTAACTGTAGGGGAAACAGAGTATTGGACTGTGAGTTGGTCTAACTGTAGAGGAAACAGAGTATTGGACTATTCTTTGTGAGCTGGTCTAACTGTAGGGGAAACAGAGTATTGGACTGTGAGTTGGTCTAACTGTAGAGGAAACAGAGTATGTCTGTACAGGATAATGTGAGGACAATGCAGTGTGCTGTATAACTGGACTACAGTAGCTAGCTAGGGGCTATGAAGTCATCTTGTAGTCATCTACCCAGGCTTCAGCCCAGGCTCCCCTCACAATGGACTCAGTCAATGTCTGCTGCTGGAGCCCTGAGCTAATGTTTCCTTAACAACAGATACACACACACACACACACACACACACACACACACACACACACACACACACACACACACACACACACACACACACACACACACTCTGCTCTGTCACTCAAACCAGCTCATCCAATCAAAACTCTATCCCTCACCCTTCACTCAATCAGCACATCCACCCCATGTCAATCAATTCAACTGGTGATCCAATGAGATGTCAGCCTGCTCTGGCGCTTCATGTCACTGATTACCACAGTGTACAGTAGTACCACAGACTGGCTGTGGCTATCATAAACTGAAGACGGCACACAGGGGGGAGATTGACTTTCCTTCAGAGAGGACGGTCAAGAATACACTCATCGTTCTTCTACAGTTAAAAATCTGATGCCTGATTGTGGTCAAAGATAGTCCTCCGAGTCAGAGAGTCTATCCCAGCTGAAAGTGTCATATTTCTACTTTGCAACAAAAAACCAAAAAGAGGAAAAGTTGTATTGGACTAAAGAACTACTGTACTGTCTTCTAAAGGAGCCTGCCTCTATCTGTGCTGCTGGAAGTCTAAAGGACCATCTCTCTCTGTGTGTCTGTGTCCCTCCAGAGATGCCGTAGAGGTTGTGGGTGGTCTGTATGATCAGGTGGATGAGCTGGTTCACAGGCTGGTGATGCTGTCCAACCAACGCACTCAGGAACTGGACTTTATCATGGAGTTCAAGAGTCTGGAGCAGGGATTCAAGGAGGTGAGAGTGGCTGGGTGTTAGGGCTTGGGCTGGGGCTAGGGCTGGGGGATAGGGCTAAGGATGGGGTAGAGGGATGGGGCTGGGGCTGGGGCTGGGTGTTAGGGCTTGGGCTGGGGCTAGGGCTGGGGTATAGGGCTAAGGATGGGGTATAGGGATGGGGCTGGGGCTGGGGCTAGTTATCGGACAGGAACTGGAGTTTATCATGGAGTTCAAGAGTCTGGAGCAGGGATTCAAGGAGGTGAGAGGGGCTGGGTGTTAGGGCTTGGGCTGGGGCTAGGGTATAGGGCTAAGGATGGGGTATAGGGATGGGGCTGGGGCTGGGGCTAGTTATCGGACAGGAACTGGAGTTTATCATGGAGTTCAAGAGTCTGGAGCAGGGATTCAAGGAGGTGAGAGGGGTTGGGTGTTAGGGCTTGGGCTGGGGCTAGGGCTGGGGCATAGGGCTAAGGATGGGGTATAGGGATGGGGTATTGGGCTAAGGATGGGGTATAGGGATGGGGCTGGGGCTGGGGCTAGTTATCGGACAGGAACTGGACTTTATCATGGAGTTCAAGAGTCTGGAGCAGGGATTCAAGGAGGTGAGAGGGGTTGGGTGTTAGGGCTTGGGCTGGGGCTAGGGCTGGGGTATAGGGCTAAGGATGGGGTATAGGGATGGGGTATTGGGCTAAGGATGGGGTATAGGGATGGGGCTGGGGCTGGGGCTAGTTATCGGACAGGAACTGGACTTTATCATGGAGTTCAAGAGTCTGGAGCAGGGATTCAAGGAGGTGAGAGGGGCTGGGTGTTAGGGCTTGGGCTGGGGCTAGGGTATAGGGCTAAGGATGGGGTATAGGGATGGGGCTGGGGCTGGGGCTAGTTATCGGACAGGAACTGGAGTTTATCATGGAGTTCTAGAGTCTGGAGCAGGGATTCAAGGAGGTGAGAGGGGTTGGGTGTTAGGGCTGGGTTGTAGGTGTTAGGGCTGGTGTTAGGGCTGGGTGTTGGGGGCTGGGTGTTAGGGCTGGGTGTGGTGTTGGGTGGGTGTTAGGGCGGGTGTTAGGGTAGGTGTTAGGGCTGGGTGTTAGGGCTGGGTGTTAGGGCTGGGTGCTAGGTGTTAGGGCTAGGTGTTAGGGCTGGGTGTTAGGGCTGGGGTGTTAGGGCTAGGTGTTAGGGCTAGGTGTTAGGGGGTGTAGGGCTGGGTGTTAGGGCTGGGTGTTAGGGCTGGGTTTGGTAGGGCTGGGTGGGGTTAGGGCTGGGGTGTAGGGCGTGTGGGTGGTTGGGCTGGGTGTAGGGCTGGGGTTTGAGGGCTGGGTGTTAGGGCTGGGTGGTTAGGGCTGGGTGTTAGGGTGTAGGTGTTGGGCTGGGGCTAGGTGGTTAGGGTGGGTGTTAGGGGCTGGGGTGTTAGGGCAGGGTGTGGTTAGGGTGGGTGTTAGGGCTGGGTGTAGGGCTTGGTGTTAGGGCTGGGTGTTAGGGCTAGGGTGTTAGGGCTGGGTGTTAGGGCTGGGTGTTAGGGCTGGTGTGGGTGGGCTGGGTGTTAGGGCTAGGTGTTGGGGCAGTGTTTGGGGCGTAGGTTTAGGTGGCTGGGTGTTAGGGCTGGGTGTTAGGGCTGGGTGTTAGGGCTGGGTGTTCGATTAGGGCTGGTGTTAGGGCTGGGTGTTAGGGCTATGGTGTTAGGGCTGGGTGTTAGGGCTAGGTGTGTTAGGGCTGGGTGTTAGGGGCTGGGTGTTAGGGCTGGTGTTAGGTGTTAGGGCTGGGTGTTAGGGGTAGGTGTGTTTAGGGCGTGGGTTGTTAGGGAGCTGGGGTGTTAGGGCTGGGTGTTGAGGCTGGGGTTGGTGTTAGGGTGGTTTTAGGGGGTGTAGGGGTGTGTAGGGCTGGGGTGTTAGGTGGGTGTTAGGGCTGGGTGCTGGGTGTTAGGGCTGGGTGTTAGGGCTGAGGTTTAGGGCTGGGGTTAGGCTGGTGTTAGGGCTGGTGTTGAGGGCTGGGTGTTGTTAGGGCTGGGTGTTAGGGCTAGGTGTTAGGGACTGGTGGGGTTAGGCTGGGGTGCTGGTGTTAGGGCTGGGTGTAGGGCTGGGTTGTTAGGGCTAGGGTGTTAGGGCTAGGTGTTAGGGCTGGGTGGTTAGGCTGGGTGTTAGGGCTAGGTGGTAGGGTAGGTTGTTAGGGCTGGGTGTAGGGCGGTAGGGCGGGTTAGGGATGGTGTTTTAGGGCTGGGTGTTAGGGCTGGTGTTGGGCTGGGTGTTAGGGCTGGTTGTTAGGGCTGGTGTTAGGGGGGTGGTAGGGCTAGGGGTTGGGCTAGGTGTTAGGGCGGGTGTTGGGCTGGGTGTTTAGGGCTGGTGTTAGGGCTGGTGTTAGGGCTGGGTGTTAGGGCTGGGGGGTTAGGGCTAGGTGTTAGGGCTGGTGTTAGGGCTGGGTGTTGGGGGTTGGGTGGGTGTTAGGGTGGGTGTTAGGTGCTAGGTGTTGTAGGGCTGGGTGTTAGGTGGGCTGGGTGGTGTTAGGGCTGGGTGTTAGGGCTGGGTGTTAGGGCTGGGTGTTGTGGAGGGCTAGGTGTTAGGGCTGGTGTTAGGGCTGGGGTGGGTAGGGGCTGGGGTGTTGGGATGGGTGTTAGGGGGTGGGTGTTAGGGCTGGGTGTTAGGGCTGGGTGTTAGGGCAGGTGTTAGGGCTGGGTGTTAGGGCTGGGTTGTTAGGGCTAGGTGTTAGGGCTGGGTGTTAGGGGTGTTAGGTGTTAGGGCTGGGTGTTAGGGCTGGGTGTGGCTAGGTGTTAGGGCTGGGTGTTGGGCGGGTGGTTAGGGCTGGGTTAGGGCTGGGTGTTAGGGGAGGTGTTAGGGCTGGGTGTTTGGGTTGGGGGTAGGTGTTAGGGCTGGGTGTTAGGGCTAGGGGGGGCTAGGTGTTAGGGCGGGTGTTAGGGTAGGTGTTAGGGTGGTGTTAGGGCTGGGTGTTTAGGGCTGGGTGTTAGGGCTGGGTGTTAGGGGCGGGTTAGGGATGGGGGGTAGGCTGGGGTTAGGGCTGGGGTGGTTTGGGTGAGGAGGTGGGGTGGGTGTTAGGGGTGGGTGTTAGGGTGGGTTTGGGGCTGGGTGTGGGTGTGTAGGGCGGGTGTTGGGTGGGTGTGGGATGGTTGTTAGGGCTAGGTGTTAGGGCTAGGTGTTAGGGCTGGGTGTTGGGCTGGGTGTGTGGGTGGGGTGGTGTTAGGGCTGGGTTGTTAGGGCTGGGTGTTGGGGCTGGGTTTAGGGCTGGGTTGGGTAGTAGGGCTGGGTGTTAGGGCTGTGGTGTTGGGGCTGGGTGTTAGGGGGGGCTAGGTGTTAGGGCTGGGTTGTTAGGGCTGGGTGTTGGGCTAGTGTGTGTGAGGGTGGGTTAGGCTGGGTGTTAGGGAGGGTGTTAGGGCTGGGTGTTTAGGGCTGGGTCTGGGTGTTTGGGCTGGTTTTTGGGATGGTGTTAGGGCTAGGTGTTAGGGCTAGGTGTTGGTGGGTGTTAGGCGGGGGTTAGGGCTAGGTGTTAGGGCTAGGTGTTAGGGCTGGGTGTCTGGGCTAGGGCTGTGTTAGGGTGGGTGTTAGGGCTGGGGTGTTAGGGCTGGGTGTTAGGGGCTAGGTGTTAGGGCTGGGGGCTAGGGCTAGGTGTTAGGGCTGGGTGTTAGGGCTGGGTGTTAGGGCTAGGTGTTAGGGCTAGGTGTTAGGGCTGGGTGGGTAGGGCTGGGTGTGGGCTGGGGGTTAGGGCTGGGGGAGGAGGGCTGGGTGTTAGGGCTGGGTGTTGGGCTGGGTGTTAGGGCTGGGGTGTTAGGGGCTGGGTGTTTAGGCTGGGTGTTAGGCTGGGTGTTAGGGCTGGGTGTTAGGGGTGGGTGTTAGGCTAGGTGTTAGGGCTGGGTGTTAGGGCTGGGTGTTTGGGCTGGGTGTTAGGGGGGTGTTAGGGGCTGGGTGGTAGGGGGCTGGGTGGTAGGAGGCTGGGTGTTACGGGCTGGGTGTTAGGGGGGCTGGGGTGGGTCTGGAGTGGTGGGGCTGGGTGTTATGGCTGGGTTGTGGTTAGGGAGCTGGGTGTTGGGGGGGCTGGTGGGGGTGTTGGGGCTGGGTGTTAGGGCATAGGTGGTTAGAGGGCTAGGTGTTAAGTGGGCTGGGTGTTAGGGCTAGGTGTTAGTGGGGCCTTGGGTGGATTAGGGGGATCTGGGTGTTTGGGGGCTGGGGTGTGTTAGGGTTGGGGTGTTAGGGTCTGGGGTGTTTAGGGTCTGGGTGTATAGGGGTGGGTGGATTAGTGCTAATGGTGTTAGGCCTTGGGTGTTAGGGGTCGGTTTTTTATGGTGCTAGGGGTGATAGGGCCTGGGTGTTTAGGTGACTGGGGTGTTATGGGTCTTGTTGTTGTTAGGGCTGGGGTTTGGTAGGGCTAAGGTGTTATGGGCTGGGTGTTAGGGCTGGGTGTTAGGGCTGGGTGTTAGGGCTGGGACTCGGTGTCGGGCAGGAACTGGATTTCCTTTTCTTTTTTTTCTTTTTTTTATAAACTGGAGTTTATCATGGAGTTCAGGAGCCTGGAGCAGGGATTCAAGGAGGTACTGTACATAACAGCTTATAACTCAGCTATGATGCATTATAGCAGAGTTTTCCACACTAGGGGTCCTGATATGAACATGGGGTCACGAGAAAAACCAAAAAAATCGCGTTTGGTTCATAGAAGTAACCTCCGGTAGCCGCTAGATGCGGTTATAATAAACAGAGCGATTTCTGTTTTCTGCCTACAAATGTGGCTCTATCTTTTCAACCGTTTAAAGATGCACTATGCAGAAATCACTCCGCCATTTTCTTGTTGCTAAAATTCTAATAGTTTGCCTAATTTCAGTTTATTTTACAAAACAAGGAAGTATAATGTAGAGAATCATTGTACCATCTAAACCGCTGTGAAATATATTTTCCATAACCAAAAATATTGTATTTTCAACTGTTTGAAGCTGGTGTACAAAATCCAAAAGTAAAAGACCAAATGAATGTCCACAAGCCACGCAGGACTCATTAGAACCGAGAGGACAAGACCAGGCACTAAATCAGACATATTTTCTACACTGGAGATCATTCAACATAATCTCCTGAGTGGCGCAGTGGTCTAAGGCACTGCATCACAGTGCTAGCTGTGCCACTAGAGATCCTGGTTCGAATCCAGGCTCTGCTGTAGCCGGCCGCGACCGGGAGACTCATGGGCGGCGCACAATTGGCCCAGCGTCGTCCAGGGTAGGGGAGGGAATGGCCGGCAGGGATGTAGCTCAGTTGATAAAGCATGGCGTTTGCAACGCCAGGGTTGTGGGTTCGATTCCAACGGGGGACCAGTATAAAAAAATATATATATAAAAAATAAAAAAATAAAAAATGTATTCACTAACTGTAAGTCGCTCTGGATAAGAGCGTCTGCTAAATGACGTAAATGTAAATGTAATAGCCTGATGATCTTCTGAACTTCCCAATACCTTCTGATGCATTTCAGTCACTTCAAACCATATTGTCAAAAATAGACTGATATCTAATAGACTGTCATAGCCCAAATTAAAAAAGTAAACATTGGTAGTTTTATATCAAAATGGGGTCACAGGCCAAAAAGGTTCGGGAACCCCTGCATTACAGCATGTACCAACTGGGCATTATGGGGCTGTCATAGATTTACAGTTATTGTCATTCTATGGTATAACTGTGTGTGTGTGTGTGTGTGTGTGTGTGTGTGTGTGTGTGTGTGTGTGTGTGTGTGTGTGTGTGTGTGTGTATAGGTGACTGACTGGATTGAGGAGGTAGGGGAGAGTCGTCTGAGTACTCTAGCAGAGCTGGAAGATTCTCTGGAGCAGCTGCACAGCAAACAGACCCTCTTCAGAGACTTCTACACTGCTGCTTACGTAGGTACCTTTGACTCTGTCTGGCTGTCTGGCTGGCTGACTGGCTTACTGGCTGGCTGGCTGGCTGGCTGGCTGACTGGCTGGCTGACTGGCTGGCTGACTGGCTGGCTGGCTGGCTGTCTGACTGGCTGGCTGACTGACTGTATATTCTTCTGTCTTTAGGAGCACTGTAAGGGAGGCGAGGCGCTGCTGAAACGTCTAGAGCGCTGGGAAGATGTGTCGTCAGCCGAGCTGCAGGTGTACGAGGTCAAAGTTCGATCCTTCTGGGTCCACCTGAACGACTTCTCCCAGAGGGTAGAAGACACCAAGACCAACATCGACAAGACCGTACGTCTCTATGAGTTCTTCGACAAGGTAAGAGGAACAACTATCGCTTTCTCTGTCTTTCTCTCTCTCTCTGCCTCTCTCTCTCTCTCTCTCTTTACTGCCTCAGCATCATTCACAAGACTCGGTGTGGCACCTGCTATTTCGATAGCATTTGTTTTTATCTGGATCCTTTGATAGGATTTGTTTTATCTGGATCCTTCGATAGGATCTGTTTTATCTGGATCCTTCGATAGGATTTGTTTTATCTGGATCCTTCGATAGGATCTGTTTTATCTGGATCCTTGCCTTTCTTCTTTGTTTGAATGTAGGATGTGTGTGTTAGTGATGTGCGGGTTGGCTCATAACCCGCAGTCCCCACGGTTCAATAAAGATACAATTATACCTTAAAAAATCCATACATTTATAATTCTTGTGTAATTAAATGTCTATAGGCTATATTGAGGTTTTTATTTCATTATTTGAGGCTATCTGACAATAGTGCATAAGCCTAAGCTTTAGGGCCTAACTTTACGCTCGCCAAATAGCCTACAAGCCAATCACTTTTGAGAACGGGCAGAAAAAGTTCACCTCAATCCATGGAGGCAAAAAGGACAATGTTGGAGTTTAAGTCAATAAGAGAGAAGCAGCGAAATGGAGAGAACAGTAGTCTAATGTTATAGAAGGGAGGGTCAGAACAGTAGTCTAATGTTATAGAAGGGAGGGTCAGAACAGTAGTCTAATGTTATGGAAGGGAGGGTCAGAACAGTAGTCTAATGTTATAGAAGGGAGGGTCAGAACAGTAATCTAATGTTATAGAAGGGAGGGTCAGAACAGTAATCTAATGTTATAGAAGGGAGGGTCAGAACAGTAGTCTAATGTTATAGAAGGGAGGGTCAGAACAGTAGTCTAATGTTATAGAAGGGAGGGTCAGAACAGTAGTCTAATGTTATAGAAGGGAGGGTCAGAACAGTAGTCTAATGTTATAGAAGGGAGGGTCAGAACAGTAGTTCTAATGTTATAGAAGGGAGGGTCAGAACAGTAGTCTAATGTTATAGAAGGGAGGGTCAGAACAGTAATCTATGTTATAGAAGGGAGGGTCAGAACAGTAGTCTAATGTTATAGAAGGGAGGGTCAGAAACAGTAGTCTAATGTTATAGAAGGGAGGGTCAGAACAGTAGTCTAATGTTATAGAAGGGAGGGTCAGAACAGTAGTCTAATGTTATAGAAGGGAGGGTCAGAACAGTAGTCTAATGTTATAGAAGGGAGGGTCAGAACAGTAATCTAATGTTATAGAAGGGAGGGTCAGAACAGTAGTCTAATGTTATAGAAGGGAGGGTCAGAACAGTAGTCTAATGTTAAAGAAGGGAGGGTCAGAACAGTAGTCTAATGTTATAGAAGGGAGGGTCAGAACAGTAGTCTAATGTTATAGAAGGGAGGGTCAGAACAGTAGTCTAATGTTATAGAAGGGAGGGTCAGAAAGTAGTCTAATGTTATAGAAGGGAGGGTTCAGAACAGTAGTCTAATGTTATAGAAGGGAGGGTCAGAACAGTAGTCTAATGTTATAGAAGGGAGGGTCAGAACAGTAATCTAATGTTATAGAAGGGAGGGTCAGAACAGTAATCTAATGTTTATAGAAGGGAGGGTCAGAACAGTAGTCTAATGTTAAAGAGGGAGGGTCAGAACAGTAGTCTAATGTTATAAGAAGGGAGGGTCAGAACAGTAGTCTAATGTTATAGAAGGGAGGGTCAGAACAGTAGTCTAATGTTATAGAAGGGAGGGGTCAGAACAGTAGTCTAATGTTATAGAAGGGAGGGTCAGAACAGTAGTCTAATGTTATTTAAGGGAGGGTCAGAACAGTAGTCTAATGTTATTTAAGGGAGGGTCAAAGTATTAATGTTATAGAAGGGAGGGTCAGAACAGTAGTCTAATGTTATAGAAGGGAGGCTCCGAACAGTAGTCTAATGTTATAGAAGGGAGGGTCAGAACAGTAGTCCTAATGTTATAGAAGGGAGGGTCAGAACAGTAGTCTAATGTTTATAGAGGGAGGGTCGGAACAGTAGTCTATGTTTATAGAAGGGAGGGTCAGAACAGTAGTCTAATGTTATAGAATGGAGGGCCAGAACAGTAGTCTAATGTTATAGAAGGGAGGGTCAGACCAGTAGTCTAATGTTATAGAAGGGAGGTCAGACACCAGTAGTCTAATGTTATAGAAGGGAGGGTTCAGAACAGTAGTCTAATGTATAGAAGGGAGGGTCAGAACAGTAGTTCTAATGTTATAGAAGGGAGGGTCAGAACAGTAGTCTATGTTATAGAAGGGAGGGTCAGAACAGTAATCTAATGTTATAGAAGGGAGGGTCAGAACAGTAGTATAAATGTTATAGAAGGAGGGTCAGAACAGTAGTCCTAATGTTATAGAAGGGAGGGTCAGAACAGTAATCTAATGTTATAGAAGGGAGGGTCAGAACCGTAGTCTAATGTTATAGAAGGGAGGGTCAGAACAGTAGTCTAATGTTAAAGAAGGGAGGGTCAGAACAGTAGTCTAATGTTATAGAAGGGAGGGTCAGAACAGTAGTCTAATGTTATAGAAGGGAGGGTCAGAAACAGTAGTCTAATGTTATAGAAGGAGGGTCAGAACAGTAGTCTAATGTTATAGAAGGGAGGGTCAGAACAGTAGTCTAATGTTTATAGAAGGGAGGGTCCAGAACAGTAGTCTAATGTTATAGAAGGGAGGGTCAGAAAATCAAGTTATAGCAGGGAGGGTCAGAAAAGTAGTCTAGTTATAGAAGGGAGGGTCAGAACAGTAGTCTAATGTTAAAGAAGGGAGGGTCAGAACAGTAGTCTAATGTTATAGAGGGAGGGTCAGAACAGTAGTCCTAATGTTATAGAAGGGAGGGTCAGAACAGTAGTCTAATGTTATAGAAGGGAGGGTCAGAACAGTAGTCTAATGTTATAGAGAAGGGAGGGTCAGAACAGTAGTCTAATGTTATAGAAGGGAGGGTCAGAACAGTAGTACTAATGTTATAGAAGGGAGGGTCGAACAGTAGTCTAATGTTATAGAAGGGAGGGTCAGAACAGTAGTCTAATGTTATAGAAGGGAAGGGGTCAGAACAGTTAGTCTAATGTTATAGAAGGGAGGGTCAGACAGTAGTCTATGTTATAGAAGGGAGGGTCGGAACAGTATTCTAATGTTATAGAAGGGAGGGGTCAGAACAGTAGTCTAATGTTATAGAAGGGAGGTCAGAACAGTAGTCTAATGTTATAGAAGGGAGGGTCAGAACAGTAGTTAATGTTATAGAAGGGAGGGTCAGAACAGTATAGTCTAATGTTATAGAAGGAGGTCAGAACAGTAGTCTAATGTTATAGAAGGGAGGGTCAGAACAGTAATCTAATGTTATAGAAGGGAGAGTCCCGAACAGTAGTCTAATGTTATAGAAGGGAGGGTCAGAACGTAGTCTATGTTATAGAAGGGAGGGTCAGAACAGTAGTCTAATGTTTATAGAAGGGAGGGTCAGAATAGTAGTCTAATGTTATAGAAGGGAGGGTCAGAACAGTAGTCTAATGTTATAGAAGGGAGGGTCGGAACAGTAGTCTAATTTATAGAAGGGAGGGTCAGAACAGTAGTCCTAATGTTTATAGAAGGGAGGGTCAGAACAGTATCTAATGTTATAGAAGGGAGGGTCCCGAACAGTAGTCTAATGTTATAGAAGGGAGGGTCAGAAAAGTAGTCTAATGTTTAAAGAAGGGAGGGTCAGAACATAGTCTAATGTTATAGAAGGGAGGGTCAGAACAGTATCTAATGTTATAGAAGGGAGGGTCGGAACAGTAGTCTAATGTTATAGAAGGGAGGGTCAGAACAGTAGTCTAATGTTTTTAGAAGGGAGGGTCAGAACAGTAATCTAATGTTATAGAAGGGAGGGTCAGAACAGTAGTCTAATGTTATAGAAGGGAGGGTCAGACAGTAGTCTAATGTTAAAGAGGGAGGGTCAGAACAGTAGTCTAATGTTATAGAAGGGAGGGTCAGAACAGTAGTCTAATGTTATAGAAGGGAGGGTCAGAACAGTAGTCTAATGTTATAGAAGGGAGGGTCAGAACAGTAGTCTAATGTTATAGAAGGGAGGGTCAGAACAGTATCTATGTTATAGAAGGGAGGGTCAGAACAGTAGTCCCAATGTTATAGAAGGGAGGGTCAGAACAGTAATCTAATGTTTTTAGAAGGGAGGGTCAGAACAGTAGTCTAATGTTATAGAAGGGAGGGTCAGAACAGTAGTCTAATGTTAAAGAAGGGAGGGTCAAACATAGTCTAATGTTATAGAAGGGAGGGTCAGAACAGTAGTCTAATGTTATAGAAGGGAGGTCAGAACAGTAGTCTAATGTTATAGAAGGGGCTCAGAACAGTAGTCTAATGTTATAGAAGGGAGGGTCAGAACAGTAGTCTAATGTTATTTAAGGGAGGGTCAGAACAGTAGTCTAATGTTATAGAGGGAGGGCGAAAGTAGTCTAATGTTATAGAAGGGAGGGTCAGAACAGTGTATATTATGTTATAAGAAGGGGGTCGAAAGTATCTAATGTTATAGAGGGAGGCTCAGAACAGTAGTCTAATGTTTAGAAGGGAGGGTCAGACATAGTCTAATGTATTAAGGGAGGTCAGAACAGTAGTCTAAATTTTTAGAGGGAGGGTCGAACAGTAGTCTAATGTTATGAAGGGGGTCCCGACAGTAGTCTAATGTTATAGAAGGAGGGCCAGAACAGTAGTCTAATGTTAAAAGGGAGGGTCAACCAGTATCTAATGTTATAGAAGGGAGGGTCAGAAATAGTCTATGTTATAGACGGGAGGGTCAGAACAGTAGTCAATGTTAGTAAGGGACGTCGTAACGTAGTCTATGTTATAGCAGGGAGGTCAGAACAGTAGTCTATGTATAGAAGGAGGGTCAAACAGTACCTAATGTTATAGCAAGGGAGGGTCCCCGAACGTAGTCAATGTTATAGAAGGGACGGGTCAACGTATCTATGTTATAGAAGGGAGGTCAGAATTAGTCTAATGTTATAGAAGGGAGGTCAAACTAGTCTAATGTTATAGAAGGATGGTTCGGAACGTAGTCTAATGTTATAGATGGAGGGTCAGAACATAGTCAATGTTATAGAAGGGAGGTCAGAACATAATCTAATGTTATAGAAGGGAGGTCAGAACGTAGTCTAATTTATAGAAGGGAGGGTCAGAACAGTAGTCTAATGTGAAAGAAGGGAGGGTCGAACAGTAGTAATGTTTACCGAAGGGAGGGTCA